AAGCCCTAAGTCTGTTGAATGCTCAGCTGAACTTCTCTTCCTTTCAGCTGTTACTTTTGCGTTTGCTCTCTCCAACTTACTCAAAGGCAAAAGTCACCACAAACGCAGGCTGGGCTCTCTCACTGTTTCTCTCTCCTCCCCCAGGTGTTGGTTCTATAATGCTACAAGTCCCCCTTCGCCTTATCATTTGTCTGATAGTCTCAATTTTTTAAACATCTTACCCAATTTTTCTAGTTGTTCTAAGGGTTTCAATGGTTTGAACAAAATCCAGGATATTATTAATGGAAGTGTAATTTCTTGTGCCTGATTATAAAGAGGATGAGTCTACCATTCCCATTAAGAATCACGTTTTCTGTATGCTTTACATTAATTTCTCCTCTTAGATTTTTCCTTCCTCTTTCCTTTTTATTGCTGTTCTCTAACTTCTTTCAATGCTTAGCCTGTTTTCTCCTGTCTTTGCTCTTTTTGAATAGCTTAATTAAAGGCTATAAATTTCCCCTAAAAACAACCCATAGGAAATATTTAGTGCACGCACAAAATTTGAGCTGTATAGCATTTTTGGTACCATGTAATTAAAATTATCTTCTAAATTCCTTACCTCTTTGATCAAGTTATTTCAGAATTTTTTACATAATTTTCCTAGTCATCTTTTTATTATTGTCTTCTAGTTTCATTTTATTGTGGATAGAGAAAATTATCAGATGATTTTAGTCCTTTGAAATTTGCTGGGTTTTCTTTTTTTAATGGACTGGTATTTGGTCAGATTTTGTAGATGTTTACAATGTGCTTAAGAAGAAATTCCTGTTCTTCGGTTATTGAGTACAACATTTTGTGAAGGCAAATTAAGTCTATTTTTTAATCACAATGTTCAAATGATCAATAGTCTTATTAATTTTTCTTTGTCTGTATGGCAGTTGGTACCATGCCACCTTGGTTAAGCTGGAGGTGCATTTTCCAGAAGTCTTTTCCTTATTCGGTGTCAGGTCAGATTTGCAAAGCAGGCAGAAGTGAAGCAGCAGCTATTTCTCTCTCAGGGTCTTCCAGGCCAGATATGGGGAGGGACATGCAGAAAGGGGTCCAGTGGGCTCTGCAGCTGGTCCTCACTCTTCCACTCCATGTCCAGACCTTCCTAACCAGCAGTGACCCCGAGCCCGTGAGTGAAGCTTGGCTGGAAACTCACAGCAGTCGTAGCTCTACAGAAGCAGCAGCTTCCACAAACTTCTTCTCTAGCTGTCCGTCCCAGTCTCGCTTCAGCGCTTGGACATCTGTGCGTGCTCCAGTCGTCCACTCATGGTAGCGTTTCAGGAGAGCTGAACGGTGCCTTTTCTCTGGCCCTCCAAATCTCCCTTCCAGGCCATTACTTCCCAGTTCCTCCCACAATTGCAAAAGGTCTGTCTTCTACAACAAATCTTTTATTTTACAATATTCATAGTAGCTTTGCTGTCCTGATTAAATCCTGAGAATCTATTTGTTCTTTCAAAAACAGAATGTGATGTATTCACCCTAATTTCTGGCCAGTACGCACTTTCTTTTCTTGAATATATTGGTAAAAGCAAATGCATCGTATCTTATCCCTCTTTTTTTTTTTTTTTTAATAATAAAGTAGAAACTTCAGGTCTAAGGCTCTCAGGGTATAAGATTTCAATTACTTCTTCATACTGCAAGATTAGAGCAGTCCTACAAAAATTTGGAAATCCCGAGTCTACATGCCTTCACATACATCCCTGATGGGTTGGAATGATAAATAATGTTTCTGAGAGTTATTACAAAAAAATGCTTTAGGCTAGGGAATTTAGCATTTTATGAAATTCTCATCAATCTTATACCCCGCAAAAGGTAACCCAGGAGATTTTTTTAAAGCCCCTCTCCGAGAGACTCTGCTGCTAGAGATCTGGGACAGGACCAAGGGATATGCATTTCTCACAAGGAGCCCAGAGGATTCTAACAAAAGTGGTTGTGGATTTCCTTTTGAGAAAGATGGGAGCAGAAAAAAATTCAGACAATATCTCAACATACTATTTGTCTCTTTTGGTCTTTCTATTCACCTTTATTACCAGCTCCCAAAGTAGAAAAAAGAAAAAGGCAAAACAAAAATACTACCACCTTCTCCAATTTTTCTGGACCATCCGGCCTCTTACTTCAAGGAATTTGCATCTGTAAATGTGACAAACGTAATTTCATAAAACATGTTACATCTAATGCATATCAATGTTTCTAAACAACAACAAAGAAACAACTTAAAACCTCTTAAAGCACTCAAATTCAGAAAAATCATATCAACATTTTACTGTAAGAACAAATTGAGTTCATGTCAAAATACAGTTTAAAATTAAGTATTACTTTATTCACTGAGTGAATTTGAATCTCTTGAGATTTACTTAAGAGCAAATTTCCCTGCATACCTGCATACCCACTTCCTCGCACACACAAAAAAAGAATTAGAAGAAAAGAAAAGGAGCATGTATTGTTTTGGTTAACACCATGATACATAATCACTCATAGGAGAGACATACCTAGTCAAATATTTTGGGAGGATGGATGCAGGTATCTCACACACATTGAACCAAGCTATTCTTTTTTACGTGAATTTTTACATAATGCTGGACATACTTGAATATTACATATAAAGTAGAAGAGTAAAACTTTGTCTAGAAAAAGGACAATATCACAGTTATAGTGACTCATGGTAGCACACTTCTAAGCCTGACCAATGGTACTTCTTGAAATGCTATCTTCCTTAATAACATTCTTTGATAACATGGTAACTACTACTAATTACAAACAACTATTATACAGGTTCTTTCAAAACAATCAATTCTCCTTTTGAAGGAGCAGTACCAACGCCTCACCCTCAGCTGGAGTCAGTCCACAGGGGTCCAGGGCTACACAGCACTCGACACTACAAAAGCACGTGGGAATCCAGGTTTTACTTCTGACACATAATAGTTTTCAACTTGAAATTCCTTTGCCTTTTCTCTCACTTAGAGGGCTTAGGAAAGACACTTCCTCACCCCACAGCTGCAGCATGCAGCCTCCCAACACCTCTCTCCCCACAGAAGCATTCCCTGGGTTTATAAGGAGAGACCTTTTCTCTCTTCTTCCTCTGTCCCTGCTCTTTTTTTTTTTTTGGTGAGGAAGATGGTCACTGAGCTAACATCTGTGCCAATCTTCCTCTATTTTGTATATGGGATGCTGCCACAGCATGGCTTGATGAGCAGTGTGTAGGTCCATGCCCAGGATCCAAACCCAGGAACCCCGGGCAGCTGAAGTGGAGCGGGTGAACTTAACCACTATGCCACCAGGCCAGGTGTGCTGCTCTTCTGTATCGTCGTCTTCTTCCCTTCTCCTTCTCCTTGATAACTTGCTTAATGACTTCGTTAAAAGAAGGTTACATCCAGGAGGAGTCATGAGATGCAGCAAAAATAAGACAGCATTCCGTTTAAATAAGATACTCCCTTCTTGATGGATTCCCCTAACATAAATGTTCTGAAGTGGATTCTGCGTCTTGTGAGCAAAGAAAAACTGATGAAGGCAACAATTAGTGAGGACATCTAAAAAAGAGTTTTATATTTTTTGGCTTAAAATTATTTCAAATAAAATCTCAAATGTTTCTTGGAACATTTCTGCAAAAAATAATTATGAGTTTGATTGGATGATAAAAACATCTGCCATGCTGATAAATATCAACTTACATTTGGTAGTCAGGTGCTCTTGATTCAGCCCTCCCATAATAACCAATGGGTTTAATTAGATAAGACAAATCTATCTGAATCAATTTGGCTTCAGATTTTGGTTAGCAAGTTTTTAGGAAAGTGCGGGATACTTGTATTTCATTTTAAAATTTGTGAAACAAGGAGAAACTTCTTGGTAGAAAATTATAACGTGAATACAAAGTATTTGTCAATAACATTTTGAAAGGAAAATATCTACCAATCATAGGAACTATTTACTTTTCTTAAAAACTATTTGCTCCCTGCTAGTTTCTCCATACATCCTAGAAACTCGACACTTGAGTTGGTTTGTTTTAGGGTTGCGCTGTACAGATAACTTTGTGAGTTAAATTTGTCTTTATTTATCTTACAATCTAGCTCTCTATATAATGTTGTTCAGCCATAAAAATTAAAGCTTATGTCCTGGAAACCAATTTCACGCTCTTCCTTATTTTTATTAGCACCCAGGAAGGAAGCAATATGAGCTGTGTGCAACATACAACATCGCAGTAACACAGAGTTTGATCTGACGAGCCAAAGATACTGCCTCCGTGGCTCATTTCATAGTAACACGGACTTATTTTCTCAAGCAAGAACTAGATCTCCTCTGCATGTGAAATCATTCTTCAATAATGAGATAATTTCAAATTACACAAAAACGTTCATAAAATCTACCCAGTGGATGACAAATCATTACTACCAATATTGGGGTAACTGTCTCATGGTCTTATAAAATTCATAATCCTCAGTTCTAAATGCTTACTATTGATCATTAGTTAATACTACCTGCCATATACTTAATACTGGCAATTCCACAAAAATGTATTAGCCTCAAATAATGAAACACAACTTTAAAAGAAAAAATCTTGTGATAAACTTTCTTCTTTTGTGTGCAATTAAAAAAACACTATCCTTTTGGAACTGAAGTATAATTTGAAACTAGAGATTCAAATACTATATAACTGAACGTGTATCTCTCACTCTGAAGTGTTAAAAATACATAAGAAGTATTTTTTTAAGAGAAAGAAGAACAAGAACTGGTGTTCATGTGCCACAGGCTTAAGAATGAGAGAAATAATTCAACAAATATTTTTTTTCACTTAGCTATCAAATCCATCACCTCATTCTTAATTGGTTGATCCACTTTTGGTGTTAAACTCTGTGATTGATGTTAAACTGATAATTTCTCTAAAACAAGCTCACATGTGAGATGTTACATCACATCATATTAACAGCCAACAATACCACTTCTTGTATGTCAAAGGCTTAGAAACAAGGCACTGAGAAGTGATGCATCAACAGAAAAGATTGTCAACTCACTAAAGGATTTGAGATCGCTTTAAACCAAGAGATCAAATTTCATAAACAACTTGTACCTAACTTATACAAATAACTAATGCTCAAACAGGCTTCATGATGCAAAATAGGCATTGTAGAAGAAAAATGATTTTTAAGAATAATTCAACGATTTTTTTAGATTAAGGTCAATAAATTAATCAATATACATTGTCTTGCATTTGTTAACTACTAAGAAGACACGTTTATTTCTCTGTAATATCTTTCATTTACTTGAAGACCTGAAACAATCTAACAAGTTCTTAATGCTATTTTCCAGATAAGACAATCCAGTCTTGAAACTACTGTTACCAAGATGTTATCTTTAAAGAACTGAGTTGTTAGTCTTTTGTTGAAATCCAAGCATTCAGTCTCTTGAAAAATCAACTCTGCATTTACCTGGAAGGACTATCTGGGATTCTGAGGGAAGTTTAACTTATTCAGGATGATTTCAGGAACAAACCCCTCCCATGATATTTACCCAATATTTTATTTAATATGTGAGTTTCCTTATGTCAACTGATTTTGGTTTTCCATTTGCATAGTCTAAAATGGCAGGATATAGATGGCTCACTAGGCCTCCTGACTTCCTTTTTTTTTGTCCCAACATTGTTCTTGATGGGAAGGAGATATAAAACAACCCCACAGAAGACCATGAAAATGTGCAGATGCACTGGAAGGGGTTGGGACAGCCCAAGTCCAGTGTTTAATTCTAAGCTGCAACATTCCATGATTTTCCAATATTGTGATTCCACATGCACTTTTAACAATCGCTTACAGGAGCCCAGAAAACAATACCGGGGAGGGCCCTGCCAATGGAGCAGACAAGTGGTACTCTTCCGACCTCACAAAGTTGGCCTCTATAAAAGTGTACAAAAACTTTGAGTTAAAAAAAAAGAAGAAGGAGTAAAATTGACACATGGCTTCTGGCCTCTGGCCCTAAACCCAGGGAAAACTGTGAAGCCAGACAGGTCACCAGCTGCTTCTCATTATGTTGATCAGATTGTTGGTTTAGCCGGCTATACTTTGTTTTCCTCAATCATGACTTGCTTGGAAAATTCACCATAATTAGTTCTCAAGTTCTCTTTTAATTTGTTAAGCTCAAAGTCATGGAGAATCTTGATAGTCATTAACTTTTCTCGCTTGATTCTCTCCAGAACATCTTTTGGAACATCAGGGATCATCCAGGCCAACAAAAATTTAACTAAAAACACAACATGCTAGAGGAAACAGAAAAGAAAATCAGAGACACTGTTAGAATCGTCAAATGTCCAGCCGGAAGCTCTTACGAATCATTTCATTCATTCAATAAGCTGTGCTGACACAACAGCTACCAGGAAAAGCAAGAAGGTTTGGTCCCTGTCCTGGAACTTTCCTACAAAGAGCAACATTAGACAAACACACACTAAAATATGTAATTATAGAAAGTCCTGTTGAACATGCTTATTGAATATACTCTTTATCTATGCTCCTTCCTGAGAACCTACTAAAACATTTGTAATGGAATTTTAAAAAAATGGTATAACTCACAAAGACAAAAAGAAGATGGATGGAAGAGTGACAGCAGAGTCAAGAGTGAAGAAAGCTGGCACCTAAACTTGCAATTGGTGACATGGTGATGGTAGAAACCAACCACACAAAAGCCAATTTTGTTTCAGATCATCAGAAAAGCACAGGAAAGAATGTCCTAAGGACTTTGAAGACATAAGTGTGGGTGGAGTTGAAAACAAGAGGATTAGTTAAAAATCTATATAAGGAACAGTTGAATTTTCAGAACCTCTCCCATCCATATCCAGGTACTACTTCTCTCCAACCCCACCCTCGCAGCAACTGAGTAATTTTCTGCAGAAATTAAAACAGAAAGCTGTGGACTCAGGGGCACCAGCGAAGCAGAGGATGGAGGTGGGCCACCATATTGAAGACGGGGCAACTAAGTGGAACTGAGCACACTGAATCCTGAGATCCCTAGTCCCTTCTGCCTCGCTCAGCTCTCAGAACACAGGCAGCCATGAGATGGTTCAACAGACTGGAGGTTAGAAGATTTTTCTCTGGGAAAATAATCTGTGAAATTAGAACTACAGATATCAAAATTTTGTAGGTCTCAAATAAAAAGGTCCCTTCACTACCTTATGATCCTACAATGAAATGCAAGTGACATTCCTCTTGTATGCACACGAAGATCATAATCAGCGTTCACTGCTTCACTCTTACATACAAGCAGATTGCCAAGAACCACCAAATATGTAAACAAGTCTCCGATATGAAAGAAAAAGACTGAAACACATAAATAGGAACTAAGGGGAAACAGAGGTAATGAAGGGAGCAAAACAATAGTAGAATAAAAAGAGCAAGATGTGAATCCATTCATTTATAGTAGAGAGAATAAATGATAGTTAGAATTTCAAAACAGGAAGTATAACATGAATAATAGAAGACCCAGAAACACAGAACAGAGAAAAGAAGGAAATTATCAAAGAAATAACACAGGCAATTTTCTCAACTTGAAGGGTAAGCATGTTTTCAGATCCATGGGGTTCAGTGTCCAGAACAATGAACGTTGCCCAAAATCAAGGAAATGCCTTGTGAAGTTTCATAAAAGAAGGACTAGTGAGAGAATCCTTAAAGCTTACTGATTTGTAAAAAGATCATAAAGACTAGGGGATCAGAATGACAGCGGATTTTATAACAACACTGGAAGCTGACAGAAAATAGAGCAATGTCTTTAAATATTTCAGGAATACCTAAATAAGGTTGGTTAAAAAATTTTTAGTGGGCGTCAGCCCCATGGCGTAGTGGTTAAGTTCGTGCGCTCCGCTCCGCTTCAGCGGCCTGGGGTTCACTGGTTTGAATCCCGGGCGTGTACCTATGCACTGCCCATCAAGCCATGCTGTGGCGGTGTCTCATATACAAAGTGGAGGAAGATGGGCACAGAATGTAGCTCAGGGCTAGTCTTCCTCAGCAAAAAGAGGAAGACTGGCAACAGATGTTAGCTGAGGGCCAATCTTCCTCAAAAAAAAAAAAAAACTTTCAGGGAAAATGACTTTCAATGTTGAATTCTATAATGATTAATCATTTATGAAGAAAGAAAAGAAATTTTCAATATTCAAGGTCTCAAAAATTGAAAGCCCACAATTTTCCTCAGAAAATTACTGAAAGATGTGCTTCATCAAAATAAGCTAGTAATCTAAGAACGGGAGAAACACAGATTTCAGAAAATATAGTATTCAATACAAGAGAAGGTAAAGAGAAGTTCCAGGATGATGGTGAGTCAGAGCCTGGGATGATTAAAAACATTAATAAGAAAAATAAATAAAGAAAAACAAAAAAATCAAAAGAATTCTGGTGCAATTTATGAGAGTGAAAGGTGATCCAAACTTCTGATGGAAGATGTGGGAACGAAGGAGCAGTAAGTTCATAAAGAACTGAGAGAGAGAGGAAAAACACAGGGAGGAATATTACATGACTGCTCCCTTTTGCATCATGTAGAATTATCTAACTTTTTAAATTACTTACATGTATAACCTTGATAAAAATAAAATAAATTGAACAAAAACTAACTGGAATTTGTGTGGCCTGCATTTGACTGGTCTATTATTGGGTTTTACTGGAGAGGGAGAAAGTGCCTTCCATCTACTTGTCTCCCTCACTGGCCTTCGCGTCTGATGGTCTGGAGCATTCAATTGTGGCCCCCTCTGTATCCGTTCTCTTTCACTGCATGCATTACATCCATAACCATACTAGATATTCCACACGGGAGCAGACATAACACAGTGGACAGAGACTTGGGAGTGAGACAGCTGGCATTGAAACTCATCTCTAACATTAGCTGATTATCTTTAAACCAACTACCTAAATTTGCTGAGTCTCAGATTCATTTTTCAGGGGGTGAATAACTTACGAGGTTATTATTATAGCCTCTGGAACAGTATATAACAGGTATTCTGTAAAATCAGTGGGTCGTCTGCCCTTTTCCTGAACTCAGGGGAAGAGGCCATATTTTTTCTTTTCTTTTCTGTCACCCTGCTATAGTCAACAATAGTAAGTGAATAACAGGCAATCCATTGTACTGTAAATATCCCTAAGTTGCTTTTTACAACAACAAATACTTCAAAACAATTTATTGAGATAACGCTAATTTTTCTGTTGAGCAGATACCTTTAGAAATAAGACTAAAAGGAGGACAGAGACCAGCTGGAATGAAGGTTAAGAGAGGCTTACCTCCATAACTATGATGAAGGTCATCTTGGCAGCAAGGACATGCCAGTACTGCATGTTATGGAAATATTTCTGATCGTGATCAGGAGGATATCTGTAATCTCTGTACCTGAAAAATACAAGTAAATGCAAAAAGTGAGCTATCACTTCAAATAGAGAGGCCTTGCATAAATTCCCATTATTTCCCTTGAAAGACCCTTTTAGTTGATCACAAAAGTCAAGTCATAGGAAGATACTTGCTATTGTGAAACATTCATCTTTCTTGTACAGATGAAAATCATGGCCATATGGTACTTATGTAGAGTATAGATGTAGCTCAAGTGAGGCTGTGAGACACAAGTGAAACCTCTCTCTTGCCCTTCAAAGGTAAATTTCTCAAGAGTTAGCAAAAGTGGCTGTCTCCCTTCCCTCTCTTCTCACTCCTTAACACACTTGGTTCTATCCATCACTCCCCTAAAACCAATCGTTTCCTGTCATTAAACTGAAGGAATGTTTTAATCCTCATCTTATTTCATCTTTCGAGGATAGGCCTTGACATTGTGGACCATTTCTATTTTCTTGAAACTCTATTTTCTCTTGGTTTATCTGACACTGCATTGTTTTTGTTTTCCTTACCATCCTTCTGGAGTTTTCTTATTGCTCAACTCTGTAATCTCACTGTTTTCTACAAAGTTTCTAGATGTTGATGTTCTTCAAAGATTTAGTCCAGCTAGGAAATGATGACATCAAGAATTGGACACAGGTGTCCATGCTCTTAGACACTATGCTATGATTCCTCTATATGCGAACAAGGAATATAACAATGCTTTTGTCTACCTGTTTTGCAACCCTTTTCTGTTTCTTTGTTGGAATCCCAGATGAAGCAGTTGGTTTAAGGGTGAAGTTAAGGGGCTGTGATGTAATATATATATATATACACATTAATATATGTATTATATATATGTAATAAAATATAATTATATATATTACATAAAGATCATATAGACATATAATCTTTAAATCCTAGAATAAAAAGGTCCTTGCAGTACATGATACACTGAGGGTAGAAACAGTAAGTCCACAAATCCAGTTTCACACCCCCTGCCAGGAAGAAACACTTTAGGTGGGATTGCTGGCGAACTCACCGTATTACTATTTCTCTCCTTCTCACTCTATCTCTTTCCAAGGATATATAGTTAAATTCAAGTAGATTAAATGCACATATAGTAGGATCATGCTATTGTGGCTTGGGATCTTGGGGCATTTCTTAGTGAGAAATCTTTCTAATAAATTTAGAAAATAAGAAAGAATTGAAAACTGACGTTATCTTTACCCATAATTTTCTGTTACTTTTGGACATTCGACTTCTCCCAATCAGAATCACACAATGTGTGAATTCTAGAATTGACGCACTTCATTTATACAGGATTTTTTTTCTTTTAATGATTTTATTTATTTATTTATTTACTTTTCCCCCAAAGCCCCAGTAGATAGTTGTATGTCATAGTTGCACATCCTTCTAGTTGCTGTATGTGGGACGCGGCCTCAGCATGGCCAGAGAAGCGGTGTGTCGGTGCGCGCCCGGGATCCGAACCTGGGCCGCCAGCAGTGGAGCGCGAGCACTTAACTGCTAAGCCACGGGGCCGCCCCTATACAGGATTTTTACTGCTCCAAGTAAATCCTTTACATTGTAAGACATGAAGGAAAGGGCAAACTTAAGAAATATATTTAAAGGGCAAAATTAAAACCTAAGAAAACAGGAGGAAACCTGCAAGTGGTGAAGTCTCGTTTTTCCGAGGGCACGGTGTGGTTTGGAAAATCAGCTATTAGGAATGTTGACAGGCTGTTATTGACATATCCTTTCATGGGCTCGGTGTCGTCTGTTGAGTAGGCATAGTAGTAAACTAAACGAGGAATGATGTCTGATGTAAATGCAACAATAAAAGCCTAGAGGACAAAGCAAGAGGGAGATCATGAGCTAACAATCCAGTTTTAAAAATGTCCCATTTGTGTATCTTTCAGTTCCACGTGCCATATGGACGAAAAATGATTAAAATGTTATTAAAAATCATGTTAATCTATGAGTCTTTGGTCTAAAAGATGAAATAGTTCATTTACAGTGTATGATTAGTATTCCAAATTGCATAGCTAGAAAGTGGCTAAGTTGAAAACTGAACCTAAATGTATCTGTCCCCAAGCACCATGCTCTTTCCACCATGCTTTGCTTTCTTACATTTCTTTCTTTTTTTTTTTTTTTTTTGTGAGGAAGATCAGCCCTGAGCTAACATCCATGCTAATCCTCCTCTTTTTTTGCTGAGGAAGACTGGCCCTGGGCTAACATCTATTGCCAATCCTCCTCCTTTTTTCTCCCCAAAGCCCCAGTAGATAGTTGTATGTCATAGTTGCACATCCTTCTAGTTGCTGTATGTGGGACGCGGCCTCAGCATGGCTGGACAAGCAGTGTGTTGTGCACACCCGGGATCCGCACCTGGGCCGCCAGTAGCGGAGCACCTGCACTTAACCGCTAAGCCACAAGGCTGGCCCACTTTCTTACATTTCTTGTTGTTTCATAGCACAGTTCTATTCTCCTTAACCAAATTCACTGGCCTGGACCAACTCGACAGGCTAGGACAGTGACTATATATGTGCGTGCGTGCGTGCGTGCGTGCATGTGTGGGTGTAGAAGGCCGGCGAGGAGGGAATGGAGAGATAGAAGACCCTGTGCTGGTAAATTTCCCACAGTTCAGTGCAATCAAGCAAGTATTTGATTCCATAGGAATGGTATTTTGTCATCCTTTCCTAAGCTCTGGAACAGTATAAATAGCATGTTTCTTTTAGGTTAGATAAGTTAATTTAAAACCATCTGGCTCTGCCATCTATATTTTTAGAGGTAGATTTTTAAAAATTTTAATATTACTTCTACAGCTACTGGTCCATTTAGGTTTTCTATAACTTACTCAATAATTTTGGCAGTTTTTATTTTCTAAAAAAGTGACAATTTCAAATAGATTTAAAAATTTCTTGGAATATATGAGTACATAGTAGTCTCTCATAATTTTCTCACTTGTACCTTATAACTCTTTTTATCTTGTTAGAGTTTTTCAGAGTTTTGCTTATTTCATTTGTCTTTTCAACAGACCGACTCTTGATTTACTTAGTAATTATATTGCTTTTTGTTTGGTTTCTAATTTATTTATGATAATATCTTTATTAATTCTTACCACTTTCTATTGATTAGTTTTACATTTTTTCCTTAGTTTCTTACGTTATATGCTCAGCTCATGTTTTCCAGTGTTTTTTAATAATGAAAGCATTTATTGCTATGAATTTTTCTATAACTGTGGTTTTGGCTAATTCTTATAGGTTTTCATTTTAATTAAGCTCTCTCTATAATTTCAATTTCATTTTCTTTTTATATGATAAAGTTTACTTAGAAGCGTGACTGTTTAGTGGTTAGATTTTCTTTTGTGACTATCTTATTATCAACTTTAATTTTTAAACCAGTGTAGGTAAATCTGCACTGTAAAATTTCTGCTTTGGGGAATTTAGTTTTATTATCATTTTTTAATAAGTGCTCCATAAACATAACAGGTAAATGTTCTGTATTCTGTTTGTAGTATATAGCTTTATGTATAATCAAGTTTTTATCGTATTATTCAAACCCTTTATACCATTACTTATTTTCTGTCTACCTTGTCACGTGTTATGAAACTGTTATTATAGTACTCTAAAGACAGTGATTTTACAATTTTCCTTGTATTTCTAAGAGTCTGCATGTCATAGATCTCTCTATGTTGTTTAGTGCATAAAAGTTTAGGGATGTTTTATCTTTATGGACTGTCACCACAATCAATGTAAATAAAGATTGAGTTAAGCATCATTCACATCTCCCCATCCCCAAGAAAACAAAATAAAATACAAAGTCACCCCACCGACATAGGTCCACTTACATTAGTTGCAACAGAAAGGACGGCCATTCCATAAAGAATGTCTTGCCAAACACCTATGCTGTGAGCTTTAGCAGCTACAGGCCTCCTGTACTGAGTAGTAAGTTTCCAGGCATCCACTCGGATCTCTATAATGTTATTCAAGAGAGCGAGAAGAGGAGCCAAAGGAAAAGAGGCCACGAATAATGTAACAAATCCAAATTGGATAACTGTAGGGAAAAAAGAGAAATTCACAAACTTATTATTGTGGAAGGGAAAAGAGGGAACACCCTGCTCAACTCTTGCCACTTCCTTTACTTTCGAGGGATCTACACCAGCAAAACACTCCGGGCCTCTTCTCATCTGCCAACTCCCCTCTCCCCATGGGAAGCATAGTGACTTATTTGCTTGCTACAATAGGAAGGAGAAACTGGGTATGCACAGCTCACTTCCGTCCTTGCTGTTTCTTTTGAGATCTGCTTGTCTGAAGAAAGCATCCATTCTTGTTAGATAAGATATACTTATTCTTCTTAAAACACAGCCTTTTATTATGGGCTATGTTTAGGTCTATGCTGGTCTAGCCTTTACATCACTGTTACTGGCTCATTAGTGAGGCAATCAAGCTTCTCTGTCTTGCTAATCTATGGACTTTTTGAGCTCAGGGATAATGACTGATTCATTTGGATGCTTCCAATAGCCAGCATGTGCTGGTTATATAAAAGTACTCAACTACAAGCCTTATGAACAAATGCATTATTCAAGATTTGAAGAAGCTAACAGATGAAAAGGCAGTGCTAAACAAGATATTTGAGAATAAATCAGAAAATAATCTAAAGCATCAGAAACATATATAAATTATATATGGGCAAAGGAAATATACCTTTTCTGGAATGAGGTATGTGTTAAGCTCCTGATCCACTGTACTACCCTGACATTTTCCTAAACAGGTTTTACTGTCTTTCCTCTTTAAGACTTAACACTTGTGTAGCTGGCTTCTCTCCCCATTTTTGTTCTTTTGTTTCCCACAATGCTTGTGGGAAAAGACTGCATCAGCTGGCAGTCTGGGCTCCCCACATGAGTGAGGAGAGGACAGTCAGAGACACAGAGACTGCTTTCCGTTGAAGGAAGGAAGGAAGAAGGAATCCTCCACAAGTCCTCTATTTCTAGATGGATCTCGGGTGTTTCTGGATTTCAGCTTCTCATGAGACTTCCTCATAAGACTCAGTCTTGTCATCACTAAACCAAGGCAACAAACCACCTCCTTTCCAGACTTCTCTACTGAACCAAGAGAGAGAAGATTAAGACGAAGCGTCACGTAGGAACAGCTTGAATTTCCCAGGTTCAAATCCCAGATCTTTATCTAAAATCCTGTGGCCCATGGCAAATTAATTAACCTATCCAAGTTTCAGTATCTTCTAAAATAAAATGCAGCAAATAATGACTACTCTGTAGAAAGTTTCAAGATTAGAGATATGTAAAACATCCAGAATAAATTAACTCTTAGTTGTATGTCAACAAATGGTAATCTTGTTATGAAATCTTGATTTCATTTTTTAATTTGAGTGATTATCTTTGACATATTTATGCACAAATTCATTTGAAACTTACACAATTAATTAAAAATTACAGCCTTATCACTCCATAAAGCAAGGACTATCTAATTGTACAACCAGCCATATAAAACAGACTTCTTTCTATTTGTCCTAAATTGACCTATTTCAATCCAGGTATCATATGTATGTATTGCAGTGGAGAATCAGTAATAATTTCAGATCATCTCATTCATTCCATCATGATTTTATGGGCCTAGAGAGTTGTCCTCCTTAATTCCACCAGAGAAGCAGAGGTCCCTTGAGAGGAAGCACTCTGAGTAGGCTACACAAGCAGTCCCATCATTATTTCTCCTAAAAGTTCACCTCAAGATCTCTTCTCTGTTCAATCCTTAGAATACTTTATACATTTCTTGTGTTCAACTTAGGTTTTCTTTGCATAGCTGCTTTTAGCCTTCTTTCCAGCCTGAAACTAAATGCATGTCAGGCTCTGGAAATGTTTTTCACCTTATTCTCTCTCTGAGCTGTCACTGAGGCAAACAAAAGGAGAAAGAGCTATTTAAGCTAATTTGAGACAGCTGTTAAAAAGTGATCCTTACTTTATTTGGTTCAACAATATTGACATTCAAATGACAGGAAAAATATCTCTAAGATTGGTGTTTTGAAAGTAAATGTCATTCTTCATTCTTTTTGGTAAGGAATATAAATACTGAACCAATCTTTTCTATGTTCATCCATCTACCTTTTCAGCCACCATCCAATAATTTATTGAACACCTACTATGTGCAAAGCAGGGATAAATATTAAGAGCTGGAAAAACACTAATTTTACTCAGCCTGACTCTGTGTTTCAAGACACTAGTAGAAAATTACCTGTTTCTAAGTACTCATAGAATAGCCCAAGAGATCCAAAAGTTTCAAGGTCATGATCCTGCTCCCATCTACTGTACAGCTTTTCAGAGTTGGTCCGAGCTTTTCGGCGTCTCCACCAATTCAGAACCAGGCTGTTGGAAGTGATAAAAGTAAACACATGAAATAGAGTTAAAAAGAAAAGGGTCAGAGAATCAGCGAGTTAGATCTAGAAACTGGTAGTAGGAGAAGTTAAGTAACTTAAGATCACAGAGCAAGTAGAGCTATCACTATAGCTAAAATCCAAACCAAAATCTAGTGTTCTTTTTACAACACATGCTGAGGTCAGAAGTCCTTTATTGGGGTGATTAAGAAAATAAGACAATACTGACTCTCCCCATGGAAGCATATTTACTCAGAGACAGTTCTGTTAAAGAGCGTGTGGAGGAGGGGGTCATCATAGGACCGTTTTTTCTATGTAATTTACCAACCTTCATGTTGTCATGAGACTCAGAAGGACACTCAAGGAAATGAGAAATTAGTTACAGTAGAAAATGTATGACAAAGGAAATACAGGGGCTTATCTAATACATGAAAATAAATGCAATAATCATACATAAAATATTACCTAATTAAATCCACACTATATAAAAAATGATATATCATGATAGTGTTGGATTACTTTAAGGAAACAAAAAAGGTTTTTCATTAGAAAATCAATGTCATAGACCACAATTAACAGATTTAAGGAGAAAAATATAAAATCATGTCGATTGATGCAGAAAAATGCATTTGATATATTTCAAGAACCTATTAAAATCTACTATGACAGAAAAGTAGGAAAAGAAGTAAATTACCTCAATCAAAAAACCTCAGAATCAGAGGAAATTACCTCTGATCAAAAGCATCTACCAAAATTCTGGGGCAAACATCATTCTTAACAGGGAAGATTTAGAAGCGTTCCTCTTTGAATCCAGAACAAAATAAGAGTGTGCCTGGTCACATTCAAGGCTCTGCTGGAGAGCTGAGCCAGCACAATAAGATGAAAAAGCAAAAGGCAAAAGAAATGGAAATGAAGGAGGACTCTATGATTACTAACAGTAATGTGATTGGATGGTCTACATAGAAAACCCAAAGGAATTTAGACAAAAATTATTAGAAATAATAACAGAGTTTATCACTACATTTCATTTCTATATATCCACAAAATATAGATAGAAAACATAATTTTTAAAAGATACCATTACAATAGCAACTAAAATTAAAATAACCTAGAAATGGATTTGACAAAAGATTTATAGGACCTATATGCAGATGTTTAAATCTTTAAAGTCACTTAAGTCCAAAATAAATGTTCATGAATAAAAAGACTTGTCATTATTAAAATGTCAGTTGTTTTTATTGAAATAATTAAAATCTAATTTAAATCAAAAAATCAAAATATTTTTCCATGTGAAATCTGATGTTTCTAAAATTTATACAGAAAGACAAAAGACCAAGTTATTTCTGTAGATGAAGAATAAGTTGGTAAAACTTGCCCCACCAGATATCAAGACTTACAAAGCTGTATTAAGTAAGAGTGTGGTATTGGTGCAGGGATAGACCCTGGAACAGAATGGAGACCTAGTAATAGCCTTGTACTTGCTGCATGGCATAAACAGTATTGTAAATCACGGAGAGTGGGGAAGAGGAACTTCTCAATCAATGGTCACAAGACAATTATATGTATATGTGTGTATGAGTGTAAGAAATTAAATTTGAATTTCATATCAAACACAAAAATCCTTTCTATAAATATTAAGAATTTAGAAGAGAAAGATAATAACGTTAAAATGTTAAAAAAATTGAGAACTAAGTATATGAAAATATCTTTTTGATCTTGGGGTAGGGAAGGATTTATTAAATAAGACTTAAAAAATACTAACCCATAAAAGAAAATATTGATGAATTCTACTACATTAAAAGTATGTACTTTTGTCCATCTACAGCAGTGGTTCCCAACTGGGAGTGACTTTGCTCACAAGGGTACATTTGCAAGGTCTGGAGACATTTTTGGTTGTCACAACTGGGCAGAGGGTGGGCTACTGGCATCTAGTGGGTAGAGTCCAAGGATGCTGTTAAACATCCTACATGGCAAAGGACAGCCCCCCACGACAAAGAATTATCTGGCCCAAAACGTCAACAGCGCTGAAGCTGAGAAACTGTGATCTAAGGGTACTATTAAAAAATGAAAAGACAAAACTTATGTTGGGATAAAATATTTGTAACACATATAACCAAAAACAAACACAAACATAGTTACTAGAAGTTATAAAGTATTCCTACAAATCAATTTAAAAACGATAAACAGACAAGTAGAAAAATGGTTAAACAACATGAACAAGCATTTCATTGAAGAGGAAACACATATGGCCAAAAAATGCTCATTCAAGTTATTAATCAGGGAAATGCAAAATAAGACCAAACTGAGATATCATTTATACCCTCCAAATGGGCAAAATTAACAAATGAGACAATATGAAGTACTATAGCAAATGTGGATTAAAAGGAACACTTATATACTGCTTTTATCCAAACTGAAACATGAAGAGAAAAAAAGTTAATGAAAAGGGAACAGAACACTTGAGATTTCTGAGACAGTATCAAACAGATGGGCATACGTGCAACTGGAGTCAAAATGGAAAAGAGACCACCCAGGTCAAGAAAGAGAACTGCCAGGAATCCCAGGAGCGCTTCACGTGCTCCATTCCAACTACAAACTCCTCAATCTCCACACAGTAACCATTGTTTTGCATTTTATACTAATCACTTCCTTGCTTTCTTAAAAATAGTTTTATCCTTCTATGATCCATTCTGAGTTAATTTTTGAATGAGGTGTAAGCTTTACATTGAGTTTCATTATTTTGCATACGGACATCCAATTGTTCCAGCACCAGTTGTCGAAAAGACTGTTCTTTCTTCAATGAATTGTTTTTGCACTTCTGTCAAAAATAAAATGACCATATTTATGTAGATCTATTTCTGCAATCTCTACTCTGTTCCACTGATCTATTCCTTCACCAATCCTAGTCTTGATTAATATAGTTTTATAGTTAAGTCTTAAACTCAAGTAGTGTAATTTCTCCAACTTTATTCTTCTTTATCAAAATTGTTTTGGCTATTCTAGTTCCTTTGCCTGCTATACAAATTTTAGAATCCACTTGTCTATATCTACAAAAATCCTGCTGATATTTTGATTGGAATAATGTTAAATCAATATATCAATTTGGGGGATAACTAGTATCTCTATTATGTTGTCTTCCAATCCATGAACACAATGTTTCTCTCCATTTATATAGATTTAAAAAATGTTTTTCATCAGGATTTGTCATTTTCAGCATACAAATTCCATACACCTTTTAGATTTATACCAAAGTATTTCACTCTTTTGGAGTGTACAATTTCCGTCCTGACCAACGTTTCTTGCATCCTACACTTTCATTCTGTTGTTCTCTTTTTGCTCAAGTACATCTTTCAGTAGTTCTTCCAATGAGGGTCTATGAATGTAAACTTAGATTTTTATGTCTAAAATGCCTTTATTTCACCTTCACTTTAAATAACAGTTAAACTGGTTCTAGAAATCTAAAGTGAACATTATTTTCACTCAGAATCTTGAAAATACTCTACTGTCTTTTGTATCTAATGCTATTAGTGAGAAATCTGTTGACAGTGTGGATGATGTTGCTTTTTCTTCTGAAAGATTTTAACATTGTCTATTTATCTCTGATGTTCTGTAGTTTAACTATAATGTATATGGGTGTGACTTTAATATTATTTATCTTGCTTCATATTCAGGATTCATTTTCATTTTTGGAACTCATGTTTTTCTTCATTTTTGGAAAATTTTCAGCAATTACCTATTCAAAGAATTTTTTCCTCCACCATTTACTCAATTCTTTTTCTGGAACTATTAGTAGGTTAATGTGGAAGCCTCTTAATATAGCCTCCTGTCACTTGAATTTTTTTAATCTCATTGTCTCTCTGTTGTACTGTACAGTGTGAGAATTTCTCAGTACTATTTTCCAATTCACTGATTCATTCTTCAATTGTGTCCAGCGTGTAATTGATCCCATCTGTTGTACCCTTATTTAAAGTACCACTTTTCATTTATGTATAATTGATTCTATTTCATAATCATTTGTTCTTGTTTAATTTCCTTCTGTTTTTATTTAAATTACTTCCTGATCCTTTTTAATCACAGTATCACCTTCTCATATGTTTTTAGGCTTTGCCAGAATCTTCGAGCCAGAGTAAGTTCTAAAAATCCATTTTGTTAGCAGCCTTGGTAGCATTAAATCTCATCATAAGTTTTGGAACTTTGGTTTGTAGGCTTAATTTTACTTGTTTTGTTTTGTTTTGTTTTTTTACTTCCATGTCTGTCTCTTTTCCTCTCTGTGCACATTTATTCTCCCCCTTGTGCTTGGTTTAGGGGTTACCTCCATTCTGGCCTCTGCATTCTCAATCTAAAGCCAGGACTTAAGTTTGCAGTTATTTCTCTGTGGCAATGTTAGGAATGTGGCAGATCAAATACTGCTTGAAAGGATGTCTATGTTCTTCCTTTGTCAGCACATGAAATAGAACCCCAGGAGCACCACGGAACTGTGTGTGTCGGGGGGGGAGCAAGGGGGAAGGGTACTTTCAACCTTCTCTCATGAGTAAGTGAGAATGAACCCAGGCCCTGGCTTCAAGTACATACAGTTAAACTGGCCAGTCCCCTGACTTAAGCAGAGCACTTGTAATCCACTTTATACTGCAGGTGCTAAAGCCTGACACTGTCATTTCCTAACTAGGAGCCCTGCAAGATCACAGGCTTATGGTTCTTTCTCTTTTTATCCATGGGGATGTTCATCTTATATTTAAGATCAACGGTCATCTTGGTTTTCTCTTTTTATAATGTATTCATTATTGCTACACTTTTGGAACAGAGAGCAAACCCTTCACATACCAGCATTTCATTCACAATCAATTTTTGTGCCTAGATGTGTCCATGACACATAGATCTTTTTACAGAGTTCAACGTTTAGTAATCTTGAGAAATAGTAGGCACCATGTAGAATAATCTACAGAGGAGATAACATTTAGACTTCCCAGTGGAACCTTCACAGGAGAGGTGGATAATCACCTTTCCTTCAATTTCACTCAAGCAGTCGAGATGCACATTTAAAAGCCTCTATTATCTTAATTCATTCTTGACTGTTGATTAAAAAAGGAGCTTTTTTATTGACTAGAACATTTGCTAACAAAAGCACCATGATAATCAAAGAATTCCATCTTCTTCCAGAGGAAATCTCTCATGGTTACTTAAATCAAGCAAAAACTTGTAAGTCATACATACGGATAAATGGCTTCTTTAACATTTCCAAAGATCTGTTTCCCAGTCATGATGATGGTCAACTGGGTTGTTAATTCTATTAGACAGCCTCCAGGATCACACTAGTCAGAAGCAACAAGAGAAAAAAAAAAAAAAAGTGAACGATGAAAGATGGACTTTTGCAACAAAACAAATCCCAAACCAGAAGACCAGAATCCGAAGACTTGGGTTGGAATGGATATTAAAGGGATATTTAGCTCAATAGTTCCAAGCAGCACCCCAGACCGGTGCCAGGCTGCTGCATTAGACTTAGCTGTGAATATCCCGGTCTCATTCTTAGGAAATTCTGAATCTTTATTTGGATGCACAGGCAGGTTTGGAAACCACTGATCTGGTCTAACTCTACAACCCATGGTGGAGCCCTTTCTGCTACACCTCCAGAAAGCTATCATTCATCCTCTGCAGGAAGCCTTCAGGGATATAGAACTTACTTATCCCATTTAACAGCTCATATTTTACTACCAGACAGTAGGCACAATATAACTTCTTGCCCAAAAGAAACTGGAAAGTCTATCAGATGACAGGATTCTAAGACTAATACTCTCTGTGCACAGGATCAGTGTCTTGCACGTCTCTTGCAACTTGACAACATCTGAGTTAGCGCTGGGCACACAGAAGGTACCTAGTTAACACCAAGTTATTGAAGCCACAAACCTCCCCTCTCAGGAGAATTCTTACCTCTTCACTTCTCCACACATTGAACAAATACGTGTATTTTCCAGGATAGCCCACGAACTTCCCTTTGAAGAAAGCTACGTAGAAGCAGGACGAGTAAAAATTTACAAACTGAAACAGGAACATTTTCAAGGTAAGACTGCTCTCATACTCCTGGTAAGTTCGAGGAATTTCTGGTAAGTGAAAAACACCACAGTTTAATAATGCAGTCTCCTGCTTCTGCTCACATTTCATACTCCCTGGGACAAACGGACATCTAGTCACATTATTCTGAGAACCTGTTGAGATGCTCCCGACTCCGGCCATCATAGACCAATATTAAGTGACTATTTACTTTGTGCCAGGCTTTCTATTAGAGACTTTGTATTAATCTAATCTCTGGAGAAGCTTAGGAAGTGGTCATTATTACATTCAGAGGGGTGAAATACTGGCCCGTGGTCACCCAGTCAGAATCTGACTGGGAATATGGAATTCAAACCCATATCAGACTAAAGAGCCTCATACTCACCCCCATACACTACATGATGTCCTGTAAACATATCAGACCTCTCTCGTCTGTCTTCAATAAGGTTTAAACAAAGTAAACTCACATCAAGGGCAGAGGATGATTTCCAAATAGAATTGTGTTTCCTCTCATGAATTGAACGGCTGTATCAATTCTGAAAACAATGTCATGCGAATGGCGGCAGAAATAGCACACATTTCTCTCTCCGCTGTTTGAAATGCGTGCTATGATCTGTCATTTAATGAATTTCAAAGATAAGAAAATATGAGATTCTCTTGACCCCACAGCAGAGCATCGTGAGGCACACAAGAGGAAGGGAGCGTATTTCTCTGAGCTGATGACTGCCCAAGAGCATGAGCTGATCCAGCCAAATCCATCACATTTTCAGTGATACTGAATAGTAACACACATTATCCTAAAGACCAGACAACTCCTCCATTTTAGTGAAATTTAGTTGCATTCCTACAAACTCTCATGTGAATGTAAGTGATTTTTCTCGTTGAAAACAGCTGTGATTTTTTAGGTGTTTTGTTTCTAAGGGCTGTCAGCTATGATTGTTCTGGCTGTTGGTAGCAGAAGAAAAGTAAAACGGGGAGAGAAGAACTCCAAACTCGAGGATCGTGTTTAACGAAAGTTGCTTCCCAGTGCTCACCCCAGTGCTGAGTGAATAATGGGCTCTTTTCCCAACACGGGGCACGAGGCCACTGCACAGACCTAGAGGAGGGCTTGGCTCCTGGAGAGGGCGCTCAGAGAAGCTGAGGCCTCCCGCGGAGTCTGATCTCATTTCCGACACGCCGGGGGCAGGCCAGAGCACGTGTGCTCCGTGCGCCTCTCCCTGAGGGAATCTCCCCCTCACCCGTGACCCCTCACCTTCCCTCATGGCCTTAGGAGAAACTTTAATATTTTAAAAAGAAAATAATCCAGGTTCTAACACATGGCAACTGAAAAGAGAAGTACAAAATTTTAGATTTATTCAGGAGAAGCTGATTGCTCGGTTTTTCTCATGATGGTTTTCAAAATCCAATATCTTCTAAATACCACACACGAAATAAAAGTTACCTGCCTGGAGAAAAGTGAGGATTTCTTAGGATTCAACTAGCCCCATCAAGGGAGAATTACGACAAGAATACTCAAAAAGATCTACAGAGTCCTAATTCTTCCTTTTAGTTCTTCTTCCTGCTTGCACTATCACGGGCCTGAATGTAGCTGTCAGAGGATTCTGAAGCACCAGGCTATGGGTCCATCTATACAGCAAAACTGCCTTAAAATGTGCCATTAAAAAATGAACTCCCTGGGGGATGATCCAAAATGGATGCATAGCATTGGTAGGAACCTTTTTCAGAGTCACACTAATGCTTTGGCCAACTTACCCATTTTTGTAATCCAGGCAGATATCTTTTCATAAAAGAAATTCAAGATCAAGATGACCATGAAGTTCAAGCACGACCCACTGAGTGATGTCGTTATCTGGGGGGTGAGGAAACTTTTGACATGCTTTAAGGATGCTTCGCTTTCCATGAAGCTGGCAAATGTGGCAAAGACTGATAGGCGGTATACGATCACAGCTACCATACACGCGATGACAAGAGCCATCTGGGGAAGAGAAACAAAGAATTGGTCGCCGTGGTCCCTGTGTCTCTGTGATGCACACATATCTGATACACACTGCTCTCATCAGCTCATATATTAAGTTTAGCAGCTCCGACGTGGACAGCAAACCAAGTCAGCCTCTCACCCCATAGATGGCAGGAAATGAATAATGGTAAGGTAAAAGGGTTAGAGATGAGGCATATGGTAGCAGCTGGGTAAGTCTAAAAGAGAAACGTACTCACTGCCCATCCTCTAGCCAGAAGGCCAAATTCTGCCTGTGGCCTTACCTGTTCTTAGATGGCCCCGGATTTAAGAATGTTTCTTGCATTTTTAAAGGCCATAAAGATAAATAAAGACAATTATGCGATCACACGCCAGAGACTATCTGTGGCCCACAAAGCCTAAAATATATCTGGCCGTCTTGCAGAAAATGCTTGCCAAGCTCTGCTGTAGGTTGTAGTTAAACATGTAGTGTGAACATCACTTACTTTCCCAAGAAAAATACATTTGAAACTTTTATTTCATTTCCTCTCAGAATGTTGCCATTAGCAGTCTGACACACCTGACAGTGTAGATATTTCTATAGATTCTGTATAAATTTTATACACTTCCCATACCACAGAACACAAAGATCTAGGGATGGTGTTATAGTAACGATTGGAGAATTCTATTCTGCAGGTTGAGGAACTGAATCAGATTGAATGAGTACTGGAAATAAAAGGTAGAATAATCTTTCTGGGACCACACTCCAGAGTATTTCTCAAGGAGGGCCCCAAATGGATTATTGCCCCCTTTTATTCTATCATCTCTCCTCAATGATTGTTATATCATCTAAGAAAGCACACATTTAAAATAGAAAAATCAATACTTTTAACAAGAAATGTTAAAGATAAAAAATTATGGGACAATATGGACTGGTGAGATTAAACTATAGTCTACAGCTGCTAGTTATTTACACTTCAACATGCTCAACTGCCAGAGGGTAACTTGGCCTTTCCTAAAATTAAAGTCCACCTGTAGGAGGGCCCAAATTTGGAAAAGGGAGGGCAGGAAACAGATTATGGTGATGGAAGAATCTATCAGATAAAAGGCATGGAGAAAACCCGACTCCCTCACAAAGGGACATGTTAATTAAATTCTTCAAGGAGGAGAAATAACATTTTCTTCTGTTTATCTCAGCAAGAGAATGATCTTTATGGTTATACGTTTTTTTTTTTTTTCATTTTTTGCAGATATTTTAAGTAGAGATAAAAATAAACTAATGATTTTTTAAAAACTAACCAAAGAGTCTGCAAATTGTTATACTGTTCTAGTGTCACGTTCTCACCAAATTAACGAAGAGCTGGGCGAGGGGGAGGAACAGGCTCTAAGCTAAAGCACCCCTCTCTCCCTCCAGCTCTTTCCCCAAGGTTCAATCATGGCACATTCATGTAAACTACAGTTTATTTTATAAAAGAGCTCTACTCAAGATAAACAGACTGGGGAGGGAGGGACTCGAGAGCTACTGCAGACGAAACTGTGGAGATAAATCCTAACACAACTACATGTCAGAGATGATAACAGTTTTTAAAGAATGCTCACCCATAACGTCACCGTGGCTCCTGATAGAAAGTACCATGGGATACGACTACATAGAGGCATGTAAGGTTCCATCTCCTGTAATTTTGAAGAAATCACAGCAAAATTCAATATCTACCCTCAAAGTTGGGACTCCAAGCAGTGGTCAAAATCACAACGCCTAAAGTAGAAACTTCCGCAAAGGGTCCACTACAGCTCATGGAAAACTACATTCTAGCAATGGTTGCTCCCGTTTAAGAAGAAACCTCCCAGGCTCTCAGATGAGACGTTTCACACGAGATGAGGCAGGACAGACACACTGTTTCCTGAGTGTTGATTTAGAGTGGTATTCAGGGCCTGGGAGACAGGAAACATGTCAACCCCTAAGGGCTGGTACTCCAGTGGACGTTCTTTAATGATGTTATAATTTTATTCCAACTGAATTAAGTTGAATTGAGATGAATTGCATTGCTCTGTAATTGTTTGGCATGGTATTAAATAGGGGGCCTTCATTGTATTTATAGGATTAATTGTATTCCTCCACCTAATTCAGGGGGCCAGGCTTTTCCACCTTGATGCTTTTTTAAGTCATTAATGGAAGATATTAATTATGTCAGTTGACATTCTTAGCTATATCAAGAGGCAGTTAAATCTTACCCCAAAGAATACTGCCATACGGTAAGAAATAGCTGTCAGCAGATATCTAAATCATGCAATTCTATCTAAAATATAAGATTTTACATCTTAAGGATTTTAGGGGGGACTGAATGCAAACAGAACTCATCAGGCAGAGTAGGCTGTCCAAGAGCTCTATTGAACCCCAGGATGTGTGTGCATGTGTGCATATATGTGATTGTGTACATGCATGTGCATGTATGCATATGTGATTGTGTACTTGTGTGTGCATGTGGGTATCCAATATGTGTGTGTCCATGCATGCACGTGTGTGTTCCTTAAACACACTCAGACGCGAGAGTTCTGGCTGTACTGACCACTGAGGAAACACTGCAAGTCAGTCAAAAAAATTTGAATTCAAAACCATTAAAGCCAAGTGAAGTCCATGACTCACTGTCAATCAACACATATTGGTTTTCAACTAGTTTCAAATGTAAACATTCAGTACATCTTGTTTTTATGTCAATAATTTTTGGCAAAGCCAAGAGGCCTGCTTTTATTTTCTTTTTTATCTCATGAAATATGAATAGATACACATCATGTCATTATTATGACAATATCTCTTCTAATATATTGTCTTAATTTCAAAATGCAACCCAAGTTATTAATGTGTTTTCTGAGGTGTTTTTTTTCCTTTATTCATTTACTCAATTTTTTTGTAATGTTTCAATGCAATTTAGTAAAGGTTTAGTGAATGCCTAAAGTGTGAACAGAATTTTGAATATTACACCACAAGAGTGGTGTCCTGAACAGAGTAGGGAATTCTACTGAAGAGACTGTTAGAGACACATTCTACCCTCCCTTTAGTAGCATCAGGTAACACAGTGACTACATGTTATGGAAAGGTAGGGGCTCTAAGAATATGCAGCCAAGAGTCTGGTCTTGGAAGGCAAAGTGCCGTCCATTTTCACATGAGAAAAAATGAGGTCCAAGAAGTCAAACTACTCAGTCAACAACACACAACTGGTTTGCCAGTTAAGGATCCCCAAATCTGACCTTTCCCCCACTAGACACCAGTGCAATGATCTTCCCTTTTTAATCAATTAAAAGGGACTAGGTGAATAAAATTTGGTCTACTAAAGCAATCACTCATAAACCCACTATCTTCACACAATACAATTTAAATTTTTGCACGTTAACTTAAGTCTCATTTCCATGTATATATATATTTATAAACAAAGCCCACAGCACATATACTATTTTCCATTTTCCTTTTGTTTCACTTAGTATTAAAACTATGTATTTCATAATATGATGCCTTGTATTTGCTTCAACATAATCTAGCAGCAAGGAGGAACAGGTGTATGAAACAAGACTGCCCATGAATTAACATTAATTGAAGCTGGGTGATGGGTCCATCCGGGGGTTCATTTTACTTTCCTATCTACTTTTCTAAGTATTTGAAATATATATTAGAAATAAGTAAAGAAGTTTATATGACTTATATGTTGGAGAATATTTTAAAGGCAAATTAAAATACACATTGTTATTTGAGGGGCAAGCTACAGCAGTGTGTCCACTGAGATTGCTGCCCGTTTCTGTTTCCCAATCTACCTTAGTCACTGCATTCATCTTCCTGTGTTTGCACATAGCTTCAAACTCAGGTCTCAGCTGAAGCTGCTGCTGTTCCTCCTCAAAGTCCACCAGGTCCCACTCGTATTCCAGTCTGGCTTGTCGCTGTTTCCAAAACTCCAAGAACAACGTGACTACAGGCAAAGAAATGTATACAAACAAACATAATCAAGAGATGGGGAAATAAAGTGATTATGAAAATAACTGGGTTTTTCTCTACTATTTTAAAAAATCATTTTGGCTGCATGATGGTTCTGTCACTATTATGTTGGATGATAAAACTATAAAATGATTAATGTTGGCATAATACATGTAATAATGTTGAAATAACTCATATATAAATATTCAAGTTAATTTCTTAGACAGCAGTACATGCAAGAAAAAATTTTTTCAGGCACATTACTGTCTCTCTTCATTCAGACAATGTGAAGTAATATTTAAACAATTTTTTACTAACATCTAGATTTTGTTTGCATGTCTTTTACTGAAATCATTCAAGCAATTGTACCACCTTCTCAGGCTTAGGGAAATTTAAAGAAAACATAAGAGCCATTCCACAGCACAATCTCTCTCTCTCTCTCTCTCTCTCTCTATATATATATATATATATATGTATGTACACACACATATATATTATATATTACATATAATTTTAATAAAATTTTGATTGAAAAGTAATCAGTTTACATCTATAGAAAAGACATAAAACATAATTGTACAATTCAAAGAATTTTCACAAAACACACACACTCATGTAATCAGCATCAGTATCAAAAAATAGAACATCACCAGCACCCCCAGAAACCCTCCCTTATGACTCTTCTGAGACATAAATGTAACTAGTCCCCTAGCTTCTAATATTATAGGATAGTTTTGCCTCTCTTTCAACTTTACATAAACAGCATCATACAACAGGTAGGTTTTGCGGCAACTTTTGTTTTGGTTCAACTTTTTTTGTAAACTGAATTCATGCTGCTGTGTGAAGCAAAAGTTCGTTTTTCATTGCTGTATAGTATCCCATTGTACAAGTAAATTACAATTTTGTCTGTCTATTCTTGGGTTCATAGACATTTGAGCTGTTTCCAGCTTTTTGCTATTACAAATAGCATTGCTGTGAATATCCTTGTATATGTGTTTTGGTGGGCATATGTATGCCTTTCTGTTGGGTATATAGCTAAGAATGAAATACTAACACAATCAATATTAACATAATTTTATCACCCATGAAAGATTCAAATTTTAATGCATCCTCTGACTCATTCCCACCTTTTAAATAATTGTAAGGAATTATGGATTCTGTCTGTATGTTACTAAAGTCTTAATTACATCTTTAAGTATCATTATAGTCATCTAACTGGTCTCTCTGCTTCCAATATCCCTTCTTCTCAGTGCAAACATATCACCTGACTGCTAAAGTTTGTTATCTGTTCATTTGCTCACATATACATTTGCATATGTTTTCTTTTGCTCATTTTTTAAAAATTTTATTTTATTGTGGTAAGAACAGTTAACATGATTTCTACTCTCTTAAGTTTTAAATCTACAATATGTTACTGTTGACTAAAGGTACAATGCTGTACAACAGATCTCTAGAGCTTACTCATCTTGCTTAACTGAAACTATATGCCCATTGATTAGTAACTGCCCATATCACCCTCCCCCAGCCCCCACCAACCTCCATTCCATTCTCTGATTCTAAAATTTGATTATTTTAGATACTTCATATAAATGAAATTATGAAGTATTTCTCTGTCTATGACTGGCATTTTCCACCAAGAATAATGTCTTCAAGGTTCATCCGTGTTGCCACATATTGCAGAATTTCCTTCTTTTTAAGGGTGAATAGTATATATATATTCCTTCTTTTTAAGGAAGGAATACGTACCAGGGTTTCTTTATCCACTCATCTGTCAGTGGACATTTAGGTTGTTTCCACACCTTGGTTATTATGGAGAGTGCTGCAATGAACACAGGAGCGCTAACATCTCTTCTCTGATTCCAATTATTTTGGGTAATTACCTAGAAGTGGGATTGCTGGATCATATGGTAGTTGTATTTTTAATCTTTTGAGGAACTGCATTCCAGCTGCACCATTTAGCATTCCCACCAACAGTGTGCCAGAGTCCATCATACTTCTTCACATCCTCACCAACACTTGTCTTTTGTTGTTTTGGTAACAGCCACGCTGGCAGGTGTGAGATGACACCTCATTGTGGTTTTGATTTGCATTTCCCTGATAAGTAGTGACATTAAGCAATTTTTCATATAACTGTTGTCCATTTGGATATCTTCTCTGGAGAAATGCCTATTCAAATCCTTTGTCCATTTTTTAATCAGGTTATTAGTTTTTTTTACCATTGAGTTGTAGGAGTTCCTTCTATATTTTGGAGATCAACCCCTCATCAGACATATGATTTGCAAATATTTTCTGCCATTCTGTGGATTGCTGTTTCACTCTGTTGACTGTTTTCTTTCCCACATAGCAGCTTTTTAGTGTGATGTAGTCCAGCTTTTTGTTTTTGTTTTTTGGGCTTTGGTGTCATATCCAGGAAATCATTGCCAAGACCAATATCATGAAGCTTTCCCCTTATATTTTCTTCTAGCAGTTTAACAGTTTCAGGTCTTATGTTTAAGTCTTTTAATACACTTTTGGGTTGATTTTTGTGTACAGTGTAAGATAAGGATCCAATTTCATTCTTTTGCATGTGGATATCCAGTTTTCTCAGCACCATTTGCTGAAGAGACTATGCTTTCCCTATTGTGTATTCTTGGAACTCTTGTCAAGGATTAGTTAACCATACATATGTGGATTTATTTCTGGACTCTATTCTGTTCCTTTGGTCTGTATGTCTGTCTCTATGCCAGTATCATACCATTTTGATTACTGCAGTTTTGTAAAATATTTTGAAATCAAGAAGTGTGATGTCTTCAGCTTTGTTCTTCTTTCTCAAGATTGCTTTGGTTATTTGGGGTCTTTTGTGATTCCATGTGAATTTTTTAAGTTGTTTTTCCTATTTCTATAAAAAATGCCATTGGAATTTTGATAGAGATCACACTGAATATTTAGATCACTTTGGGGAGTATGGACATATTAATAATGTTAAGTCTTCCAGTCCATGAACACGAGATGGCTCATTTTTTAATTCCTCTAAACATTCAGAAATACAGGCAGTCCTTATTTTGCATGGTTCTAATATGTATGAATTTCAGTTTCCTGGATTAGTTATATAACACCAGTCCCCCAACAACATGACTCAAATTTCAGTTACCACGGTGCATTAACTGTGAACATTTGCATAAAGTACAAACTTAGCTGCTAGTTCTTCAGTCCACAAATCCCTACACAAGGAGCAGATGTGTATCATGATTAGTGACCAATCACCTCCTGTCCTTAAATGCTGTTGGTGATGGACCACCACATACCTGTTTTTCAGTTCATGTACAGACAGTGAAGCATGTATTTGTGTTTCCCTGTGATAAACCCACGTGACATTTTACAAAAATGGATAATCAAAAGATGGAATTGGCCAATAAAAATGAAACTGCAGCAAAGAAATGAAAAGTGATAATGCTAGAAGTGTAATTCAAATCAAACATAAGTGGAATTACAGAAGAAATAGATGACTATGAGAATGTTGACATTGTTGCCATTTAAGAGACTCTACATACACAGCCAGAGGAACCTGGCAAAGGCAAACTTACGGACATAAATGAAGAAGGCAGTTGTGAGGAAAATGATGATGTCTCAGAGGAAATGATGTCGGCAAAAAACTTCAGCTTAAAGGGACTCTCCGTTACCATTCATTACAACGAAGGCACAGAGGATAGACCATTGGAAGCTAATGCTCAAACCGGACTGTTCTATCCTGGGAATACATCTTCTACCCTTTTCCCTATCAAAATCCCATACATTTTTTTTTTTTTTTTT